ACTTACTACTAGACATGAAAAGAAAGTCACCATTTTCAGTACAAAACCATAATAGTCCTGTTATTTCTTATGAGGCATCGAATAAAAACAAAGAATTTAGAATGAGGACAGCACTCCAATTTGAGTGAATGCATAAAATTGTGAATAGATTGCTCATTTTCTCATTTATATGCGATTTACCATTTGTGTGTAGGTTTTTTCCTGACCCAGTCCTGTCCAATGCAAAGATTCATACATATAATCCATCTAAGGCGGACCTAACCAGTTTTGGGTGTCAGCGTATATTTCTTCTGCACATTGCAAAGAAAACAATCATAAAAGCTTCTTGAGAAGATATGTATTTCAAAAACAATTATTTATTTATTTGTAACAAGTTCATTACAATATGATATCATGGTTATATTATCACATTACAATACTTGTTTTCTATCACTCTTCGTTACATAACCAAGTCTTCATTATCTAAAATAAGTCCATTATTATTTTTCAAATCTTTATACTACATTTTACAGAGTCGTTTAGGAATTAATCATGTGAACAAAAGTATTTGCTGGCCCAATACATTTTCTATTAATACGTCAAAAATTAAAATACCTTGGGTGGCACTTGTTGCAAACACCTTATTGAATGAAAATACCCTTCTAGCATCTTTTCCTTGCTTAAGGGGATTCGTAATCATTATGTTTCCATTTTCTCCTATATATCTACAGTAATTGTCCATTTTGGTTGTCCTGGCAAGAAGGGCCTCACTCTACGTAGACCCTAATGGCTCCTGTAAGTCCGAGCACATATTGTAAAGTATACAAATCATATAAGTTAAAGATCATTGAAAAAGTGTAATTGGATTCTTATGTACCTTTGAGGTCTTGTACTTGATTGTAAAGAAAACGATTCTCCTCCAGAACTTTGTGATACGAAGAGGAAGCCTCTTCAAGGCTCTTCATATGATTCTCTAAGAAGCACATAGAATTGAACTCAGAATTAAGAAAGAAAATTACATTAGAAGATTTTAAATACATGAAAGGATATTTCTTATGAAATAAAAGTCTTTAGATCATTACCAAGCCTGTTTCAATTCTTGTCCCCACTTTGATTGAATTTGTTTGAGCTCCGATTTTATCCCTTCATAGAAGTACCTCAGTCCCTGAAGCAGTAAAAACAATCTTAGAGACAATGAGGTCCCTAAGATCCCTAATAAGCCAGTACGTTAATAGATTTTTCTCTACTTTTATACCTCAAGCTCTTTTTGCTGGGCATCAATTATTTCAGCATGCTTGGCACAATATTGGACACTGTGCTGATTATTATCGCGTTTTCCACCGCAAGTGCATAGTTTAGAGATTTCATTTGACGCGAAACTACGTCCTTGATTAAGATATAATGTGACAGCCTCCACGAATTCTCTCTTAGAGAGGCAACCGTTACCGCCTTTCAATATTTTCTTGAGGAAATGTCAAGCTGCAGAAAGTTTTTATATTTTTAGGTAACCTTCCAAACAACAAGGTGTTTCTTACATTACAAACGTCACAACAAAACAAAGGAGAAGCATTAGATTCAGAAGTACCTGAGTGCCTTGAGAATCAAGTAATGCAGAAAAATCACTGATAACCTTCTTGAGTAAAGAATCTATTACCTGCACAAAATTTCACCCAGTCACAAATAAGATTTCTTATCGCAAGAATCAAATGAATCTTCTTGCATATTAATTTTTCACAACATATTCCAAACAACAATATAATTTTCCAGTCTTAGGGAAGGATCTTACCTACCATTGCATTCAACGGTAGATCATCAACCCCGTCAGTCTCCTTTGAGTAAGCCAGAGAAGCCTTTAGTCCCAACTGACTCAAAAAGGGACAGTCCACGCATTAGCAGCCTTTGGTTTTCGCCTTTCAAATCGACAACCTCTCCAGACAGAATGAAAAACTGTGATGACTCGGACTCGTAACACTTTCCATTTGCCGAGTTAAATGTTGGAAGGAGACCAATTTGGTGAAGGAAGTAATCCTGACAGTTGTCCACCATAATCCCATACACCGACCACCCGACACTTCCATTCATAATACCCTTTCAAACAGAGAATGCAGTCCACAACTTTGCTCGACGAACCCCCCTACAAAAACACATTTAACCCTTAAAGATGCACATGCTTTTAGAAAACACAATAAATAACCAATTTGTAACTCTACAAATCCAAATGGGCCTTACTAAAATTAAAATTAAAGTTAAAAATTATTGTAAAGATAAAACAATTCATATTATAAAAAAGTAAGATCAATTTCATTCGCTTCTTGAAACCATGCATAAAAACTAATGTACTAGTGCCAGAAGGCACCTCGCCGTGCAAAGCTACAGTTGAGGGTCATTGTACACAGCGTAATGCTGACATATGTAAAGACCGAATTCAAGACCTTTAATCAGCTGAGATACAGATTTAAATCACTGCAAACCAGGCCTCTTGATCATCAAAGAATTATTTTTTTCCATATTGTATACAGGTTTGTCTATATGGCCTGGTTGTAGGAAATTTTCTCCATAAGCCCTTTCTTGGAGAGAAAAAAAACAAGAAAGAAAAATAAAATCAGCCTTTCTATAAACTGAAATAAGGTTTATGCGCATGGAATCATAAAACAGATTTAGAAAAGAGTAGTAAAACAGAACAGATTTTTCTCCACTGTTTGTGTTGCATGTTATGTTATGAATACTTAAAATGAAGAGTAGATCATACGTCTTGTCATAGTACAAAATTCTATCAGTTAATATGTTGGCTTTGAGATGTTTTTTAAAACGATCTGTATGTTAATAAAAACACAAAGAAAACTGATTGCACGATACTGCAATGTCATAAAATAATTTTCATGTTGTCTTATCGTGTTTCTTATACGTGTGTGTTGTACTGCTTGGATAGAGTGGTCCTGATCTGATGACTGAAGAGACATGGGGTGTAAACTACAGGGCTTTGCGTGACTTATTTCATATTTCAAAGGAAAGAGCAGATGCCATAAAATATGAAGTTGGCGTCCAAATGATTGAAATATACAATGAGCAAGTGAGAGATTTATTAGTCAGCGATGGCTCCAACAGAAGATATCCTTCAAACTATACTTGCTATACTTAAGTTAAATTGTAATATTTTTTCACTGTTGCATATCAAAATTTCTTACGAACTCCAAAAAAAGAAAAATTAATACTGTATTTCTTTTTGCATTATTTTTGGCAATATGATTTATTTTGTCTCGTTCATTTCCTTGACAAGACATACATTGGATATACGAAACAACTCTCAGTTAAATGGGCTTAATGTGCCCGATGCATCTTTAGTTCCGGTTAATTGCACACAAGATGTTATTGATTTAATGAAAGTTGGTCAGAGAAATCGAGCTGTCGGTGCTACCGCTCTAAATGAGCGAAGCAGCCGTTCTCATAGGTAATATTCTTAATGAAAAGATGGCTGTTCTAAGCATCAAATATATTTTACTTAGACATATTTCTTTTCCATCCAATTGCAGTGTGTTGACAGTTCATGTCAGAGGGAAGGACTTACTGTCTAACTCCATTCTTAAGGGTTGTCTCCATCTTGTGGATTTGGCTGGAAGTGAAAGAGTGGACAAATCGGAGGCTGTTGGGGAGAGACTGAAGGAGGCTCAGCATATAAATAAATCTCTTTCTGCACTTGGGGATGTTATCTCTGCTTTGGCACAGAAGAGTCAACATATTCCTTATAGAAATAGCAAGCTCACACAAGTTCTACAAGATTCATTAGGTAACAATCAGACTTCAATGGAGACGAGATTTACCTTTTTACTTTGTACAAATTCCTCATTATAATTAGTTGGAACAACATTAAGAGTTGTTTTTTTTTTTTCGTTTTGCGCTTCAACCACCATATTTTTTCTAGTACAGTTTTCAGGTTAAATATTGATATTATTAATATTGATGTATTTGATAAGGCCATAGTGGTTTTCTGTTTTCAATTGCCGTATATAACAACTTAACCTATGCTTTGATTTTTTTTCTCCATATCCATAGGTGGTCATGCAAAAACTTTGATGTTTGTTCATATAAATTCTGAGCTTAATGCTCTTGGAGAGACAATAAGCACACTTAAGTTTGCGGAGAGGGTTGCGACCATTGAACTTGGGGCTGCTCAATCTAATAAAGAAACTGGAGAAATTCGGGAGCTAAAGGAAGAGGTTTGGTTTTGTCATAACTTGAGCGGTTTTCAATTTTACTTGGCCAATGTTTTTATAGTTTGAACATTTATAGATATCAAATATCAAATCAGCATTGGAGAGGAAGGAAACTGAACTACAGCAATGGAAAGCTGGGAATGCACGGAATCCTACGGAATCTCAGAAAGCACCAAGAGCTGTTTCACCTTTCCGTTTGCCCAAAAGTGGTACCAGTGACAGCATGAAGCCTGAAAACTATCAAAGACACATGGACGAGAGAAGCTCTGAGGTTATTCCATGCCGAAATAAAATTTAATGATAAATTTGTGTGAACATACATTAGGAAATTGTATCACACTAAAGTGTAATTTGTAGTCTCTAAATCTGAAATTATAATTTCAGGCTAAAACTTGTTCTTCGGGCAAGCAAAGAAGGTCAAGATTTCCCTCAATACATATAGAAAAGGAGACAATGCCAAAAATGTCTATTCTGGCTGAAGAAAAAATAGTGAGCTCAGGGAAAAGTAGATCACCATCACCTCCAGTCCGGAGGAGATCAATATCCACCGATAGAGGGTCAGTCATTAAAAGCAAGGTCCGAAGTGACACAGCAGAAAACCAACCAACACCAAAGCATCTACTTCCAGCTAGAGTACTAGTAAATAAATCTCTTGTCACAATGCCGATGCCCTCATCTATAGACAATAACTCAAGGGTGAATCTGCACTCACAGGAGTCAGTGAAGCAAGATCGCATTAATGAAACTCTCTTCAACCTCCAGAAGATAAACTCCCGGAAAGTTAATCAAGAACATGAAGAGGAACAACTCAAGCAAGCTGCTCTTGGTGTGGCAAGACAAGGTGGAACTAGGAAAAACAAGGCTGACAGTAAGACCAAGGTTAAGCCTCATCAACAGTTTCCCTTTAGGATTCAAAAGCCTGATATGACGATACCTATTACTGACATGGAAATTGGCCGTGACACGGAGGGACCTCGAAAGAGGAATTATTGTGAGCCAGAGAATGATATAAACCTAATGGAGTCTGCAGTCCATGGTGTTAATCTTAAAAAGATAAATCACAATATCTCTAGGAATTTTCAGAACATTGGATCAAGGTATGGATCATTAAAAAACTATGCTCGTTTTCTTGTTTCGTATTGAGAATGACATTATTCATACAACCATAGTCTGATTGATAGATGACTCATTTTGTCATTTGCAGAGGAATAGTCCAAGCAGCTGAACCATTATTGTCCAGCAAAGTTGAAAATAAAATATTACCAGGACGCAATCTTAAGGAAGGCACCAACACTACATTGCCTGAATTTAGAAGGAGCCGATCTACGCCACGTGGAAAGTTTTTTGTTTTATCTTGAGGATTTCAATTTTTTATATTATTTATTTTGTACAGTGACAACTATTGATGTGCATGTCGGAGTGCCGGTTCACATAATTTTGTTGACTGAGGTCTTGAGGTCAGGTCACTTCCTCTGTCTTCATGTTGTGTAGCTCTTTTGTAATTTAATTTTTTTGTATGTCAATATACTTCTGAAATCTTAAGGGGTCATGCTGCTAGATGGATAAGGTATATTTACTACATTTTATGCATTCAGCTAAAATTCAACAAAAGTAATGGAGGAACTAAAGAAATTATTGAAAACCCGTACACTTATTACAATTGTACTTGGTTGTATATGTTTCTTATTGTAATTTTATTTTGTCTTTCGCTGAACAGTATCAGTCAAATTATAATCATACTCTCCCTTGGAGTTAAGTTATGATCTCTATAGAACGCTACATGCATATACTTAATGGTGATAAAAATGGAGAATTAACAAAGTGACCTTTTGTATAAAGTTCTAAAATGAGAGGCCAAATAAGAAAAGTAGATATTTTGAGGAGCTTTACTCTCTCTAAACGTGTTGAATGCCAAAACAAAGGAGAAATGTTCACAAGATGATTTCCAATATGATGATTGATAATGAGTTGTTTCTTATTTTTATGCTAAATTTAAGTTCATTCTCATACGAATGTCGTACTTTTATTTGTAACTTATATATATATATATATATATATATATATATATATATATATATATACACGATTTTGAAATGTTTTAGCTCAACTACGTAACAATGGAAGGATTTTCACGAAGCACCACCCTATATTTAAATTAGTATTGAGCAGCGCCTTCTTTTGCTGGTTTCTTTTTCCAAATGTGACATTTACTAAAATTAATTAGGTTGAAAATCTTTCAAAAAGCGGCTCTAGTAGGTTTAAAGTTAGAAGTACAAATTGTTTCTATTTTTCAATTTGTGAGAGGTTAGTCTATTAATAGATAAAAACAATAAAAAGGATCTTCTGTTCTTGATATACCTCATTGACAACCTTAGCCTAGATTTTGTTCCTCAAACCATGTCTTAATTTTCACGTGTTTCAGATCGTTACAACTATTGCACATAATTTCCTAAAATTGCATGCATTTAGCATTCAACCTCTGATTAATAATTCTACAAAATAGAAAACCCCTCTGATTAAGAAACTGTTCGGGTTTTGAATACACAAGGGATGAAATTAAGATGATGCATTGTTGTTGCATTGTTAGAAGCATCTATGATGGGTTTACCAATCATAATTCTCTCTGACCATTGGAGAAAATCACATAAATTTGCAGTCTCAATCCAGAATTGTCCAAATTATATGGTCAATGGCTCATTCTCTTGTAAAACCTGTGGTGTTAACCTTGCAAGAACCATCATCCAGGTTGAAAACATCCACGGATGCTAAAACGATAGAAGAAGATACCCCTCAGAATTCTGTCACCTTTGTTTATCAAACCAAAGTAGCAGAATCATTGCGAAGCGTGACAGTTTCATGGTGCAAGGACAGCACGGAGCATTTCCTTTCCGTGAACGTGGATAACACATTAGAAGAAAACAAGTTCTCCTGCAAGATTGATTTGGAATCCGGACAGTCTTGGGGGAAAAAGGGCCTCAGATCCTTTGAAATGGCAGGTGCAAGAGTAGACATTTACTGGGATCTTCGACACGCCAAATTCTCCACAGGTCCACAGCCTAACTCAGGTTATTACGTTGCATTGGTTTACAAGAAAGAGGTGCTTCTGTTGTTGGGAGATTTACAGAATGATGCTTTTGAAAGAACCAAATCAAAACCATCCCCAGAAGAAGCTATCCTGGTATGCAAGAGAGACAATGTGTACGGGAAGAAGGTGTTTTGTACCAGAGCCATTCTGGAAAATGGTAAGACAGAACAAGACGTCGTGATTGAGACTTCCCTTTCTGGTCCAGATGATCCAGAAATGTGGATTACCATAGATGGTACGCTCACAAGC